ATATATAGAGCGATTTTGGATTGAGTATTGTAGAAACAAAACGAAAATTAGAGGAAGAGTGTATATACAAGGAACTAATCAGAAGATCTCTCAGAACTGAGAGTGACTGTGCGAAATCGGTCTTAAGGGCGGGAAATCTCGGGTTATTTATTTTTAGTTTTGGACCTGATTGGCAATTGAGAGCTGGGATGGTGCGTGTCTTAAGGTAGAAAGTTCACAAAGTATAGTGTTGTCCAAAACGTGAAAAAGCTGTACCACGCCTTCTTATTAACTCACGGTTTATTCACTTGATTTAACGATTTTACTACAACGCTTCGGTTAACTCCCACTAACAACTCTCGGCTTATTCCGAGGAAACACACACAAAATGTCCCGTTGTAAACAGGTTAGAATAGTGCCATATATAGGGCGATAAAACACGTGCCGCATACATGTTAGTTTGGCTATGTATGGATAAACGAAATTACTAATAAATATCAATCAACTCAGATAAGAATAATTAACGTATCGTACAGTTTCCAACAGTGTGACGAATAGCGCAGATCTATACTGCTTCGATGCTCAAATCAAAATTGCTCTTCCTCTTGTGCGTTTTAATCATTTAACGCACGTAGATTTTCCAAAAATCTCCTGGCGACGAGATGGTATCATTAGTCGTGTCATCACAGAACCAGTAGTCTTCTCTCAAATACCAGTAGTACTTCTTTGTAACAAATGCAGCCCTATCGTACAACCGTTGCTCTCTTTTCTGGTTTTTCTTTCCCCATTTTCCCACATAGTACCTGTTTTCATGTCCCCACCTTCCACACTGCGCTGCCAGCTCTGAGTTATCCCCGCGCATTTTTTTAAAGGACCCGCATGAATTAGGCACTACATTTGTCTGACCGCTGAAATACTGAACGACAGCTTCGCCAGAGCTGTTAGCCACAGTGGCCACGTGGAACGTACGTCCCTGTTTCTTACTGCAATGGAATCTAAGCTGAGTGAAATTCAAGTGTGATCTGAGATCTTGCATTGCCTTTGTTGTAATACCCATTTTATTGCTGGAGAAGTTGCTGATCGCTCGGTATGATGAATTTAAAGTCCATCTGGTAAATGAAGTAGAGCCATCAGTCACAAAGTTCGCGACGAGAAGCCATCCTCCTGAAATAAAACAGAACGGAATGTAAAGTTCTTTTTAAGCCTATTTTCAATGAATGAAATCACTTAGTAATTTGTTCGCTGTTACAAGGTGAAACTGTCGGTAGAGGGTAAGGTAGCTATTAGCTGAGTTTTTCAAAAGGTTCATACTTGTCACGTGATTAAGATCAAAATGATGATGTGATACATAAGTTTTACAGAAAGGCAAGGTAAGCTGAAATTTGAAGTTTACCCTTTTAGATTTGTGAGGGGTGAAATACTCTTTCAAGTACTCGTAACGTGTGAATTTTTCGAAATGTTTAATGAAAACTTAGTTTACCTTGATCTAGCATTTATAGGACAGAAGACTGATCGCTTTCTTGTGAATGAGCTGTTTTCATACCAAGCTTACCTCCTTCCGTTGTCATGTCACAGAAGACCTTCACAGGCTTGCAACTGTTCTCAGGGTCGATCCAGTACTCTCCGTCCCCAATGGAGTCCCATGAGTCCCGGATGTCCTTGCATGAAAGAGGAGCTATCAAAATATTAGAGTCCACACTTAAGCCTCAGCCGATAAACGCCCCCCAGCTTCTGCTCAACTAAGAGCGAAAGCCACCGGGACATTACTCGAGAGAGAGGCCCATTCACTCTACCTTGATATATTTTCCCAGAAAACACCTCTTTACGTTCTATCTCGGAGAATAAAGAAATAAGCTTAACTATAAGAGAGAGTATGGATGGCGCAGTGGTGAGAGCGCTCGCCTCCTACCGCTGTAGCCCGGGTTTGATTCCCGGACCTGGTGTCACATCTGAGGCGAGATTATTGTCGGATCTCGTCCGAGGGTTTTTCTCCAGATCTTCCGGTTTTCTTCCTCCACGAAAGCCAACATTCCAATTTCCAATTTGACCTGGAAACAGTGGACAAGAAGAGCCACCAGATTCTCTGCTATAGATCAAAGGTTACGTAAATTTTACAATAAAGTTATAACAAACTCTAATCCACCAAACGACTTACATAGTCTAAATCACTAGTGCCTCAGGGCAGGTAAACAGCTCAGTTTGCTGAAAATCCTGCTTGACATGTACTATGCCAGATTTCAGCTTAAAAGAGATCTTACCATTTAGACATCTTTCTCCAGTCCAAGGAGCCTTGCACGAACATTGAAATGTCTGTTTGTTTTGGTCAAGAATGCAAGATCCACCAATGAGACAACAGGTCGTATCACATCCCTATGATTAACATAACAATGATAATCTTCAAAATATTCAAAATAATACAGCAAGATGTTTTGCGTCTTGTCACGAGCGGGGGACAAAGAAAAAATTCTGAGTTCCTATAAAGAATGGAACCTCAGACCTTCGGAGACTCTATGGTGAACGACGCCCATTATGAAGTTCATATGTGACACGCGTCCTGCATACTTCTAGGATCAGCGATGTCGATAGCGCCATGTCTATAAATATTTATTCTTATCCTATTCAAAATAATGTTGCGAAGTCAGTGGGGAAACTGGTTGAGAGGCAGGTGCCGAGATCCTTGGATCACAACTGAGCTTTCTACTTCAAAATAATATGTTTTGATGCTACATCAAGTCTAACTCTAAATCCAACCTCAAATACTTTCGACCACAACTCCAACTACACCCATTATTAACAAAAAGCTATGCGCTTACATTCTCATTTGATTATTTTTATCAACCTTGGAAAATAATACCACACCTGTGCTCTATGAGAGATAAGCCATTCCCAGCAAGTTTCAGCGCAACATAAGTTTATTATGATAGTTTCACATATATATGTATAAGATAACAAAGATCAGAAACTGAAGTAAATCCAAAGAAATGACAAAAAAATACGAGAAAAATGTATGAACATAAATTTTTCCCATATCCTACCTTGAGAAACACGGAGTATGTTACACCTTGCTCGTCTTGAAACTCGGCTTCTTCGTCGAGGAACCCGTGTTGGTTTAGTTCACAAGTTCCTTGGTCGTTGTCCTTTGATGGCTTCTTGAAGTTTGTGGAAGAACACCATGAATTCCTGAGGCAGGAATGGCTGCACGACGTTAAACTGGGTGAGTTAAAACTATCAACAATATGGCCTTTCAAGCGCACGTTTTCCTGTGTGGAAAATATTGCTCTACGAGAAATAGGAAACTGTTTAGCAGCAGCGACGATTGCCAAATGCATCATTCCGTGAAGCAGAAAAAACCAAGTCTTTTTGGCGTTCATTTTTTTAAACAGAAATTCAAGAAACAGATAGGAAAATGCGAATTAAAAAGGTTCATTCATATCTTTAACATGCCACTTAACGCATGCGCAAAGACCAATTTCTATGTCATTTTTGCCGATAAAATATAAATCTTTGCTTGTTTTTTATTTTGTTTTGTTTGTTTTTCTATAGTAAATAAAACTTGTCATTCGGCGGCGTCAGCTGCTATGAATATGTACATATATATATATATATATATATGTGTGTGTGTGTGTATATATGCATCAGCCTCAAGAACAAAAAGTTTTTTTAGCATTTTCAGCGTTTTTTCATATTCAAAGAGAACTTTAAACTGGTTGAAACTATAAATTAGGCATATTCACCAGATTGACAGTTAACAAGAGCTTTTTTGACATTTGCCTGTTATACAAACTTCTGATAAAATTAGCATTTCCGTTTGCGCACTTTCTTCCAGCGTTGCTAACGATGAAAACAAAACTAGCGAGGCTTGAAATCCTCCACAGATAAAAGAACAACAAGCCTGGTTTCTAATGTATCATACCAAGAATTAATTACAAATTCATTCTTTTGAGAAGGACGGCTTAGGACAAAGTTTCAAAATGCACGTGCGGAGTTGTTGTTTTGCCCATTAGATCTTTTGTTTTGCCACATTCTCGTTTCCGTTGCCGTCATGATTTGCTTAAGGTACCTACCCCAATTTGAATACCAAAAGGAACCGGGTGTACAAGATGTGAGGGAATTAACTCACGGCCATAGGTAAACCAGGAGAGAATGAATGTGCCCCATGTGTAATCAGATGCTGTATGGCCTCAGTTTATCGCTTTTAACAAAATGCTATGAAATCTACGTTGTTGGGCAAGCAAATTAACTGGAATATTAGTTCGCGAATATGATGATTAGCCGTTTTCGATTAACAAGCAGATGTTCGCATTCAAAATTATCTCATGTGAGTAGCGGTTTTGTATATATTAAGCGATGGAGCACCGAAAACGAGGCATAGCAAAAAGATTTTTAGACGGCTGAAATATTTTTCTTAATGCACATTACTCGTTAATGTTGACCGATGACCACCATCTAACGTAATAGAGCTTGATTGAAGATGACATAGCTGTTAGCCTCCAAAGCCCCTAGGGGCCCGACCGCAGGCTGCCTGCAGTCTTTAAGCTCCTGCAATTTTACAACTCTTCTCCCCAGTGTCGGTGGATTGCAGTGAATAATTAACTCACTACTTCGTGGCTTGGTAGTATTCACACTAGTCACGTCCACTTCGAAGAATAATTTTTAGATAACCATGAAGTACTGCATATCAAATATGCCAAGAGTTTTGCCATGTCTTGCGTTGTCACGATGTATATTATGTTTGAATGACCAGACGTAGGAAAATTTCTATGATGGTTACAACATGGACTTTCATTGTGGGAAGATGATGCCTTATATTTTCTGTCTGTTCTCTTCGAAGCCGTTGTTTGGCCACATCCGTTGCGTGACAAACCAAACAAGAGATCAAGAGGGATTAATTTTTTCATCGGTGGATTGGATTCGAAATCGCTAATCAGCATGGTAAATTTACTAACTCATCGCAAGGAAGGGTTATTCTATACAGAGGGAAAAAAACCTGCCACTAAAGAGCATTTCCTCGATCTTTTATTGAAAACTTAACAGTGGAAGCAAATTTTAACACACAAAAAGGGAGACCTTGTTCTTTACCTATTGCTGTACTTCCACGATCCTGAGGGAAACTGTACAAAGTAAAAAAGAGCACATTATAGGATAGGAATAGAGTCATTGCATGATTGAATATTTCTGATATATATATATAAGTATGTATATGTATGTATATCGACCAAGTCGGCCTTCGTCTCTTCCGTTTTTGTCCTATTTATGTCTTAGGATTAAACATGATATCCCCGAGACAACGTCATACCAGGTTTAATTAGGAAAAAGCCCGTGCGAAAAAACCATGCGAAGATGATTCCAGAAGCCTTTGGATTCCAATTAAATTTTGACAGCCGGGTCGTTCATTAGTGATTATCTTACGGTGTAGATAATTCTAAAGGAGAAATTGAGCCCTAAATTTCAGACTTAAGAGGGCCATACGCTGCTGCAGTAAAAGCCAAATTTAGGCCAAGATACTACCCACTTTTAGCCGTTAGGACCAGGCCAAATGCACAGGAGACAAACACGAAAATCTTCCAATGCATTATGATCTTCACACAGTGCTTGTACTTGAATTCGTACTATGAAGAAATATAAAGTTAATTAAAGTTAATGTCTGCTCCCGAGGGAAACATTGAGGGAAAAAAAATTATTAGAACTACTTAAAAGGGTTTTTTTTATACATCTGGAGAACACAGAATAAACAAGCAAAAACTGAACGTTAATAAAATTTCACATTTAGTTCTTGTAACACTGGAAAAGTACCACAAGTTCATTTCCTGATACGAATTTTCGTAGTCCTTCTGCTCTCCTGGTTTTTTCGATTTCATCTCTCGATGAGGTAGCATAGCGCTCCTATTTAGTCTCAGGCTACTCAATTGTGTTTTCAAGAGCTATCGGGGAGCTGGGATAGAGGCTTCGCAAAATCCCTCAAACCAACGAGACCACTGCTCTGTGTGGGAATGTGAAAATGACCGCAGATGTCCCGAAGGTACAAAGAGAAAAAAAGAATTTGCTAAGCTTTTCGGGCTGACACTCGAAAAATCTTTTACAAAAATTACACCCAAAGGGGGTAAGTTTCTAAAGAAACTGTGATGTTGCGTAGGTAGGAGAAGCACAACAAGGTAATTCAGTAATATCGAATGAGTTGATAACGTAAATTAGCCACCGTAAAGACTTTCAAAGCTGACGTTTCGAGCGTTAACCCTTCGTCAATAACTCTGACGAAGGGCTAACGCTCGAAATGTCAGCTTTTAAACTCTTCACGATGGCCAATTTCCGTTATCAACTCATTTTATATTACTAAATTACCCTATTTTCTCCTAAGGGTTGCTTTTTGAACATTCTACTCTTTGGAAAAAGCATCTTTTGCCACCCTTGCAGCTCACATAATAAAAAAATTCCCTCCCCCTCATGTAAATGTACTGCTAAGGATACAACAACTTCCACATCATTGTGGCTGTTTCTCACCTGTTATTACTATACAGAGTACGCCAGGTGATGCCTAATCGAAGTTTTTCCTACCATCAGCGACGTATGAGGTGTTAGTCCTTTTTATTTCGAGTAGTAGCGTTTACCAGCGCTTCCTTCATGTCTCGGGATTCTCTATCAAGCAACAGGATGCCAAAATAATGATAAGCGGCTAAGCTTTCGCTTGTTTAAAACGCACTCTTCTTACCGAAATCAATAGATTTTGATCTGTTAACCAGTCAGGGCCATTCCCGAGAGATATGCTGGAAAGAATTAGATGATGCTAATAAACGAATCTTTATGTCATGAACACAATCGTCTTACTATGAGAAAAGCCTTTTGAAATAAAAGAAAAAATATTTCCCCTCAACTTTTTCTTTTATCAGACTCCGTGACTCAATGCTTTTGGAGAATTTCTTTGGTTTTGGAATTACTTCGCTCTATGGTCCTCAAAACTCGTACCACTTTCTCAGCCGATCAGATTCCTTACTTAAACCTATCACGACTTGCTCTCCCGCATTTTCCCGCGCTTTGGACATTTTGCTTGATTTTGCTTTGAGGTCTCATTGGCTTTTCAATGTACTTTCCTTTCTTCTGATTGGCCGTTGTAATTACTTTGGTTTTAATTTACGACACTCAATCGAAAAGCGATCTATTTACTAACAGATTTACAAGAATGTCAAAGGAATATCAAAATCGTATTTACATTTAGTCAAGCCTTCCTGCCCTTCACTCGACTCTCCCTCAGTCTGTTGTAGAGTTTGCACAACAATGTCGGAATCAGTCACTATTTACGCACGGGTCGGGCGGGTGAGGGGAAACATGAAGAATCAAGGGTTTAATGATTGTAGATATAAAAAAATCATATATGTGCACTGCGGTGAAGAAACGAGTGTAAGAGATCCTGCAGCTATAAACACTACTGAGCTAGTAGGTTTTTTTCCGTAGCAAAGGGGCGGGATTTCTTCTCATATTTAATAAAAAAAAATAATAGAGTGCAAGACACTGGTCCACAAAATACACTGTTGCTGCCCCCGAACGACCGAAGGAGTTCTGACGGAAAATACAACTGTTGTTACTTGCAAGAACGAAATTTATTCTTAAGATAACAACGTAGTCCACCTTTACATAGGGGATTGCCAGAGGATTAATTGGATAACTGAATGAATCACTGATCAAAACAAAAGCATGGAAAAGTATGGCTACTCCAAAGGGAGGAACAGTTACTAAGTGGCATGAGCGGTCGCCAAGCAAATTGGTGACATCCGCTGGCAAAGCACTAGGCAACATTTCCAACCCTAACCCTAACCGCTGGAATGTAAGGGGTTCACATGGTCTGAAGCAATGTTACATAGTGCTTTCCCATCCACTGACTTTACTTCGTACCGCTGTAGTAACTGGTTTTAATCTTGAAACCTATCAAACTGAAGCACATCCTTTCTCGCCGTATGAATCATGTGGATGCCAGTATCAAAATAAAGATGAAGAAAAACCTATGTACCCCTAAATATTATAGGACAGTAGCCATTTCAGGTTGGCAGGCGAAAGTAAGGGGACAGAGACGAAAATATGGGTGTTGGTTGGGATCTGTCAATTTTGCTTGATTTGTTGATTCTCCATTTTCATGGCGTTTTGAATACTCTCTTTGACTGCTGACAAATCCCCATCGTATCTGCTGTTTGGTCGTTCTTATTCCCCCTTATACAAAGCCATGCGAGCAACCAGTGGCATCTTATTAGCCAAGCAAAATTCATACCTATGGTAGTAAGGGTTATCTTTACAGAGAGAAACACTGCTATTAAAAAGCATTTCCTCGATCATTTATTGTAAACTTCACCATAAAAGCAATATGACACACACAAAGTTAGAAAACGGGACAACTTTGAAATGTTTCGTAAAAGTTCGTTCTTGAGCTTTTATTGTATGATCCACACTCCTGAGGGAAATTCTGCTGAACAAAACAAGGACATATGTCATTAAGAAAAATAATTATGTTGATACATGGGGCATCACATAGTGAATGATTTCTGGCATAACCATAATTTTTTATAATCATAATTTACATATGCCTTTGCCCTTTCTATTTTCTTCTTAATCAAGTCTCGGGATCCCAACATTCCCAGTGCTAGGTTATATCATATTACATCAGGTTGATAACATACCCACAGAATGTAAAGTTTCTAGGGTGCAAAAAAATTGGAAACCTTTTACGGTCCTTTACATAAGCTAACTACCATGGAATGGGTTGCGACCACTGCCATTGTTTCGGGCCTTTTTGAGTCGGTCGCTGGCTTCAACTGCAGCTGACACCCGTTATGAACAAGCAAACAATAAAGAAATAAAATAAAATAAAATAACACACAAACAAAAATGACCATTTACGAGTGATTGTATGATGCAGTGGTTAAGGAAAAAAGTAGCCGTGTACTGACAAAATGGTCAAATCGGTGACATTACGTGGCCACTCCTTCTCCAAACAAGCTCATCCTTCTAGTCTTTATCAGATTCATGGCTAAAAATTAACAAGTCAGAGAGGCTGCAACAGTTTGAAAACCGGTCGCCATGACGTCTTCCCTAAGATCTTCAACGCGGAAAGTCTGGCAACAATTATTCTCAGCAGTAACCGCGTTTCAACTGAGAATGGTTGGTAACGTGTTATTTTGGCAACTTCAACCAGTTCAAAATAAACCCATATTATCGGCTATGAGGCCTTTTCAAACACATATCTGATCTGTGCCTTATCTCGCTCTTCCAGCCGGACGGAGGGTAAGACGAGGAAGCACAGGCCATCCCACCCACAGAGAGATCAATGGTTTTTCCCTAGATTAGGCAAGCTGTGAGAATATTTCAATCTCGACAAAATTTCCCTCGGCAGCTCCTCCTCAACTTTCTCTTAGATCCTTACAGTCATTCTATTTCCGTGACGTTAACGTTGCGAATAGCATTTTATGATCGAAATGGAAGCATGAGGGAAATGCTTGAAGTCTGGAAACTGACCAAATTAAGATTGAGACTTACCCTTACTCCTTATCCGCTGTATGCAAAATCAGTTGTCAATTGGAAGAGATGCCTTACATCCCTTCCCCTTACAGATGTTAAAATGACAGTCATTTTTCACTAAGCTGCCCTTTTTGCATTTGGATTGTATCCCTTTAGCCGTTTTCTTTTTAATACAGCCTCGCATGAAGTAAGGCGTAGGGCCGAACATTTTCTTTCTCACGAAGCATACATTCTTTGGCTGGCAATCTTGCGTTGTTGAATCGTTATCACAATCCTCCAAGGTAGTGAAGCTTTCACAGTAGGGGCATTCTAGATCTGAACATAAGAAAAGAATGCCTCAGCTAAATACTCCGTTAGTAAAAATTACTGGACGCCAATTGTTGCTTCAGATTTGAAGTTAATCTCGTTTTTTCCCACGGTCATAGTTAAAAGGTGAACGTCACCCCTGCCTTTCTCTCATACCCATCAGTCTTCCATTGATCAACATTTTAAATCTAATTTTTGGGTCTGATAACACAGCGAAGCTATTTTACGCGTGACATCTCGTTAGTCTATTTAAGTATAACAGACGAGTTTTCATTAGGAAGTTTTTTGAAATTGCAGAAATGTCTCGCAATCGTTGAGGCGAGCTGAATAGAAAAAGGATAGAAAACTTCTCGGGTTATTGTTTGAGTAGCGGTATGAACTTCCAGTGCAGCATGATTTACTTTGCGGAATTCAGCGAGCGAACCAGTTTTATAGGCTTTTGAATCGAAGAATTGTACATTTGGACACTTGAATGCCGTTTGATTGACGTATTCTTTTGTTACTGACTACGCTGTACACGGAGGAATTAAAGTCGGTAACCAACAATAAACCCGTATTTGTATCAGGTGACACCCGTTATGAACAAGCAAACAATAAAGAAATAAAATAAAATAAAATAACACACAAACAAAAATGACCATTTATGAGTGATTGTATGATGCAGTGGTTAAGGAAAAAAGTAGCCGCGTACTGACAAAATGGTCAAATCGGTGACATTACGTGGCCACTCCTTCTCCAAACAAGCTCATCCTTCATTTTGAAACGATGACTAAGGCCTACATTAAAAGGGTCATCCTGATCTTGTGCAGCTGTAATCAAACCCAAATTAGACAAAAGCTAAGTTACGCGCGCCTTCCCACTGGTTCTGAATTGTCATCTGTCCTGGATTGGGGGACAGACGTTCTATATTATATGAAACAAAAGGATTCCGTGTTGCCGTGGGTCTGTACAGTAATGAATCACAGAAGGCGTCAAAATGGTGTAAGAACAGCAGAGACACACTTGGCTGAGCCCCGTGTTCCATTTTTTTGTTCGTACCTTATTTGATGTGTGATCTGTTACTGAGCAGACGTAGTTCAACATAGTATTCATTAATCCACTGGTTAAATTCTGGGTGTGACTTACTTTTAGCCGTTAGGACCACAGCAAAGGTGCAAGCGACAAACACGAAGATCGTCCACTGCATCATAGTTTTCACAGTTCCTGTTTTAAATTTATGAAGTGAAAGAAAAAGAAATTGTCAAATTCTTTATCGCAATAGATGTATTTGTTCACCGTGATTTTAATGATAAGTTAATGTTTTATCGCCAAGGGTCACTATCAATTTTAGAATCAAGTTAAATAAACAAGAGCCTTCATTTAGCGCGAAAATATTCTCGGATACGTGTTAGCGGATAGTACCAGTTCAGAGATGAGAGAGATTTTCCGAGAGTGAAGCTTGAGAAAAACTGTGGGCTACGCTATTTGCAGGTACATGGTGCTGGGAGAAACTCAAGAAAAAATTCGGTAAATGAAAAGTATTTTCATTGATACCATGAGGGAAAAGGTGATTTCTCAGTATTGTTTGCGCATCCAGAACTGCCAAAAGACTTCTTATAATTAATTCCGCATTTGTCATCTTTCCCTTCGTCATGAAGGTGTTCTCGGAAAAAAGAACCAAGGCTCGATGCTTTTATGAGATGAAGGAGAGAGATTCATTACTCATTGCAAGTATAAGTTGTTAGATTATTCGGCTTTACTTGCCTCAGGTCGAGGCTTAAACGCAAATTAAACATATCGAAGAGTGAAGAAACTTGAAAGACCGTCAAGCGAATACCAATTGATTTTCCAAGAGAAAGCTTCGTTTTTAATTACGGTCACCGATCATGACCTTTTGTAGTAAGGCTCTATTAAGTGAATGGCAACTAATTATATCATTCATCTCATTGTTCGAAGAACTCACTGGAGAGCT